GATCTGGTGACTGTGGGGGCCATTTTAGTACAGTGAACTCATTGTCATGTTCAAGAAACCAATTTGAAATGATTCAAGATTTGTGACATGGTGCATTATCCTGTTGGAAGTAGCCATCAGAGGATGGGTACATGGTGGCCATAAAGGGATGGACATGGTCAGAAACAATGCTCAGGTAGGCCGTGGCATTTAAACGATGCCCAATTGGCACTAAGGGGCCTAAAGTGTGCCAGGAAAACATCCCCCACACCATTACACCACCACCACCAGCCTGCACAGTGGTAACAAGGCATGATGGATCCATGTTCTCATTCTGTTTACGCCAAATTCTGACTCTACCATCTGAATGTCTCAACAGAAATCGAGACTCATCAGACCAGGCAACATTTTTCCAGTCTTCAACTGTCCAATTTTGGTGAGCTCTTGCAAATTGTAGCCTCTTTTTCCTATTTGTAGTGGAGATGAGTGGTACCCGGTGGGGTCTTCTGCTGTTGTAGCCCATCCGCCTCAAGGTTGTAGGTGTTGTGGCTTCACAAATGCTTTGCTGCATACCTCGGTTGTAACGAGTGGTTATTTCAGTCAAAGTTGCTCTTCTATCAGCTTGAATCAGTCGGCCCATTCTCCTCTGACCTCTAGCATCAACAAGGCATTTTCGCCCACAGGACTGCCGCATACTGGATGTTTTTCCCTTTTCACACCATTCTTTGTAAACCCTAGAAATGGTTGTGTGTGAAAATCCCAGTAACTGTGCAGATTGTGAAATACTCAGACCGGCCCGTCTGGCACCAACAACCATGCCACGCTCAAAATTGCTTAAATCACCTTTCTTTCCCATTCTGACATTCAGTTTGGAGTTCAGGAGATTGTCTTGACCAGGACCACACCCCTAAATGCATTGAAGCAACTGCCATGTGATTGGTTGATTAGATAATTGCATTAATGAGAAATTGAACAGGTGTTCCTAATAATCCTTTAGGTGAGTGTATTACAAGGCAGACTGAATGATTTCTATCTAGAAAAAGCAAGTGGTGCCTTTATCAGATCAGGAGCAAAATGGCTTGAGTTTAGAGAGAGAAATTCTGCATATTTGTTTGTCCATGAGAAGAAATACATTTTGACTAAAGACCCTTGTTTGATATCCTCTTGTTTTTAAGTTTTATCAAAAACTATATTTCACTTTATTTGATCCTAGTGATACATCTTTATTCTTTATTCTTTTAAGAATCAATCTGTGATTCCCAAAATTAATGAGTACACCACAGAGCCTTGTGAGAAACCTTTACGATCTTTATAATGTAATATATAACGCTTGCATTAATCACTGGTGATAAAAAGTAAACGAATTAAATTTTTTTAATGCTTTAATCTAAACAGAAAGATGTCTTTGTGACCTTCTCTACAGCACATTGTTGGCTACTGTGGTTTTCAGCAGCATTTCATTGGTTGGAGATTGGAGGAGATTGCTTATGTGATGATCACTGCAGGCTTTACTTCTTTCATTACTACAGTTCTCGACTGAATATACAGTATTCTATCAACTTATATACAGTAATTACCTTTGCACATGTGAAAAAGAAATCCTTGGTTGGAAACCTGGCTAAATGTCTCCTGAAGCCACTGTAAAAACCACTTTTTTTCTTTTCTTTTTTTTACAGTGTATCAATTCGGAATAGGCAGTTGTTGCTCCCATTTTAAAAATAACAAGCCTATCACCAAGCATTCGTTTCAATCAACTATCTAATAAAAGTTTATCAGAAAAATAATGGGAACAACTGCACCCATTTCTGTATATTGCTTAATAATCAAGTCTAAATGGTCTTTAAAAATGAAGTACAAAAAAACATGATACTTGTAATACTTTTTTAATGTATATTATAACATATAATAAAGTTTCGTTTCAAAATGGATGAGGAAAATATAGCACCTTAAAAATCTGTAAATAAAAGAAATAAGAAGAAAAACAGAAGGGAACACCGTTAAACGAAGGAAGGCTGTTGGAGTTTCCAATACTGACAAAAAGAGAATGTTACGTCTGTTTATCTGAATAAATAAAATGAGTCATAAAATCACTATTTCATGGTCAGAAGCTGCTCCTTGACAAATGAAAATCACAAACATGACACTTGTTAATAAAATCATTTTATGAATACAATTTATTAACATGTAATATAAGTTTACCTCAAACAAATTAGGAAAATAAAGGGGGTTGGATCCAAAAAGCTCTAAACTAAAGATGAGTTAAATATATTCCTACACAAATCAAATGTTTAGGTCATTGCATCTGTGTCGGGGGGAAAAAGCATCAGCAGCGATTTTGTGTTTGGTAACACTTTACTTGAAGGGGTGTGCATAAGACTGACATGACACCTTCATAATCATGACAGGACACATGACGGAGATTTTATGCATGTTTATGACAACTGTCATCAAGTGTCATTCGCTCAATTATGACATTTTAATGACAAATTCAATTTGTACCACTGTAGTTGAGGCCAAGAAAAATATTCATGACACAGTTATAATGGCCTTGACAGCCAATGTCAAAACCAACCACATGACAGTTTAATGTAATGTTAATCCATAAAGCTAAAGTTTCTTAAATTTGATAATTAATCTGCTATGTCATGTTTATGACATATTTATGACAGGTTGTGTTGTCTTAGTAATGTCAAGTTGTCATGACTAAGACACTGACAAGTTATGATGTATTGGTTTATGTCAAGGTGTCATAACAAAGACATCTCAAACAAAGTCATATTTGCATTAAAAATGTCATAATTGAGCGAATGACACTTAATGACAGTTGTCTTAAACATGCATAAACCCTCCTTCATATTCATGACATGTGTCATGTCAGTCTTAGTCACACCGCTTCAAGTAAAGTGTTACCTCATGTTTTTGATCGATTTGATGTTTTTGATCGATTTGATCGATTTGATGTTTTTGAACTCCACCAGACTGAATTGGCTTGACTGCAAGATAAAGACTGTTTCAGACGGTTCAGTCCGGTTGGATGAACTGGTTCAGTTCGTTCAGTTCACTAAAAAGAACCGGTTCGAAAGAATGATTCTTTCCCGAACTGGACATCACTGTTAGTTTCGTTTCTCGAAAAGCCTCGCCCTGAGGAGCTTTATCTCAGGCTCACACACACAAGAGCTCATTGCGATCGAAGATGGGGCTGTGTAAGTACCTTATCATATCACTGCAGAATATTAATGTGCGTTTATCAGCATTACAGGAATCTAACCCTTGTTTTCTCTTCTATATTAGTAACGATACTAGCAGCTGGCGCTGGAGCAGGTAAAATCTAACAAACAAACAACATCATTTAATGATCTATAATTACTAAAAATTATTGAAATAGTCAATGAATGTCATACTTGTCAAAGTACTTTCTGGAGGTATTTAAAACAATATTACGATGTTCATCAGTTGAGAGCGGGGAACAACGTTACGCTTTTTGACACACTGTGTAGATAAATCTAGTTTGGGTTCAGAGCATTTATTTTTTCCCACATTCATTTCCCACGTTTCCTACAATTATGTGGTTTTGTTTCATTAATAAAGTGCATCGTTTTTTCTTGATTAACCTCGAAAGAATAACAGTGAAATGTGACAACATAGGAGGCCATATGACAGATTAAAATGATATGATCTAATAAAAAAAAAAAGACAAACTAAAATAATTTTCCCCCAAAAAATACAATTAGTAACCTTTACAATAATGCCATTTTTATTTAAAAAATAAACTAGTTTTTCAGTTTGACAACGAACACACCGGAAAACACAGCTATAGCATTGTTCAAAACATAATAATAATTAATAATTTCTGAACATTGACTCTCAGTCTTTATTCACGTTTTCTGAAGGTTTCTCAATAGAATTCATAAAAGTATAGAATAGAATAGAATAGAATAGTTCTAATAGCGGCTCATTGTAACGCAGTGTGACAACATGCCCCGCCTGAGCAACTGGGATTGTACAACCCCGTAAACCCTGAGATTACTTGTGACATTAGAACAAAATATATGGATATGAGAACAACTAAATTAACGATCTCTTAAATATTTTCTAATTTTACTAAACATTTTTTACTAACAAGTTTCGTGAAAATGTGTATTAAACATGGACCTTTATGTTCATTAAAACTGCTTATTATGCTATTGTAGGTTCATTTTGTAAATATAAGCAACTAATTTAGATGTGCAAACTGGGTGCCGTTGTGATGAGACTGTCGTGCTTGGTTAGATTCGCCTCGAGTCGTTCATCTTCGGACGCGGAGCCGCGCGCTGTTACAGAATCTGCCGTGCGCGAAATAGTTGCGCACTCAACACGCACGGCCGCACACACGCGATGACGGCATTTTTGCTGCGTGCTTCACGCTCGTTGGGACGCGGCGAGTATAAACCTAGCTTTACAGTGCCAGGGCTGCCAACTTTTGAGTTTTGCTTGGAGTGAGGGGGGGATTGTAGGCTCAGGCTGCTGTATCACGTGCCGTTTGAACTCACGCCCTACAGCGATCTGTCACATTTCAAAGAGCCAAAATGTTGTTTATTGTGTGAATCTCGTTAAAATGTTGACATAATCTGACAGTTGTGGATTAGTACCATATCAAAAGTAACCTTCTCTGTCTTGTCTGTCTGTGTCAGTGTCCTCTTTGTCCGCGATTTTTCTATGCGTGAGAAAATGGATGTGTGGCGTGAGAGCGTGTGATAAGGGTCAATTGCGTGTGTCTCACGCTCAATGCGTGAGAGTTGGCAGCCCTGCAGTGCGTATCATATGCACGTAAAAAACTAATTTTTTTGCTATAAATTGCACGATAAATACAATTCGTGCTATAGATACGCATTGTACGCATTGAGATCGTGTTGTAGCGGGTGCGACGGCGGCTGCTCCCGCGGGTCTGGCGACCGTAGGGTTCGCCAGTGCCGGTGTTGTGCCGAATTTCGACCCCCTGCCAAATGATTACCCCCCTCATTGAAGTCAGTACCTGATTGCCTAATCCTAGCTTCTCCCCTAATCCTAACCCCTCCCCCACAACTAATCCTAACTCCTCCCCTAATCCTAACCCCTCCCCTAATCCTAACCCCTCCCCTAATCTTAACCCCTCCCCTAATCCGAACTCCTCCGCTAATCTTAACCCCTCCCCTAATCCGAACTCCTCCCCCACAACTAATCCTAACCCCTTCCCTAATCCTAACTCCTCCCCTTATCCTAACTCCTCCCCCACAACTAATCCTAAACCTACCAATACTAGGGAGGTAATAATTGTGTGTGTGTGTGTGTGTGTTGCAGCGGGTGCAGTGGCGGCGGCTCCGCTGGTTCTGGGGGCGGTGGGCTTCACCGGTGCCGGGATCGCCGTGGGCTCGTACGCCGCCTCGATGATGAGCGCGGCCGCAGTGGCGAACGGAGGAGGAGTCGCTGCCGGGTCAATGGTTGCAGTCCTTCAAGCCGCTGGTAATGCAAACGTCATGATTGATAACTTCATTTTCCTAATGAGTTGGTCTCTGAAACGCGTGTTGTGTGTGTGTGTGTGTGCAGGTGCCGCCGGGATCCCAGTTGTGGCTCAGGCGGCTGTGGGCACGACAGGGGCCGCTGTGGGGACAGTTCTGGCCATCCTCATCTGAGCCGAATCACTGAAACATTCTGTTCAATATACAAATAAAATACTCTTAATTATCGCACAGTCTGACTCTTGTGCTTTTGTAATAATGACTTTAGTCAGCGTCTCTTTACTTTACTCTGCTTACATAAAGATAAGTGTGTGTGTGAGAGGGAGCGTGTGTCTTTGTGTCGAGAGTGTGTGTGTGTTAAGAAATAGGAATAAGAGACAAAACAGTACAGAAATACAGCAATTGTAATATTACACCAATTGTCTGTTTTTTTTAAATGCTAATATATTTTATACACATTTCACAATATACTAAAATGGCCACAAAATATATATTTTTTTAAATATATTTGAAAGTATATTTACATGTTTAGCCAGTTATTTGTATAAATATATATAACAAAAATAATATATATTTTTAAACGTGTTTAAAAATATATCTTGCTCTCCAAATTTTTCATTATGAGAATTTTACATGCCACATTTAAATAATATTCAGCAATTAACATACTTTACAATGTTAAAAAAACAAACAAACAAACAAACATCAACAAAGGCACTCTACCAAACTACACAATTGTTGAGGAATGGTTTGAGGAATGTCATGACACAGAGTTCAGGGTTTGTCCAGGCAGGTGTTTTAATGTTGTGGTTGTGAATCTCCTGATATATTGACATGATGAGCTCTCTTTTTAGCTTTTCTTTCAGAAAGTACTGCACCCGTTCAAATGGCTCTAACTCCTAACAAAGGGATAGAGAGAGAGGAAACACACACACACACACACACACACACACACACACACACACACACACACACACACACACACACACACACACACACACACACACACACACACACACACACACACACACAGACACACACACACACACACACAATACCTCTGAAGACAGAAACTGGTTGCATAAACAGCCATTATATTAAGACAGTGTCTTCAGTTCTAGTATGACCCACTAGCACTTAGTCAGGGGCAGTCAGTGTTACTTTTCAGTATCAAATTAGGCCAATCTACAATTTTATGTAACTGATTTAAAAAAGTTATGAATAGTCTTAAAGAAAAAAAATGATGTCTAACTTGTAAGACTAGTCTTAGGGGTTAATGCAACCGCCTGAAGGTGCGTCTGTTTCACGTGTATTTATAGCCTCTCACAAATCCACATTCCAGTGACGTCATCGTCAGAGGTTATTTAAACCCAAGCTCTTGCTTTTGAGGTCATCCGAAATGGCTCCTGTTTACAGCTGGTATTAAAGATGCGTTTAAGTCGATCGGATCACAAGTGGACGATGTTAAATACAGGTGTAAACGGGGTCTAAAATGTTTTGAGCTTGTCCACTTTTGACCTCTTTCGGAGGTAGTTGGAAAAAATATTTCTTTTTTGCTTATTTGCTTTCGTAGTGTAAACACTCATGTGGTCGAATGAGTACAAAAGACCGTACTCTCCGTCTACTGACCTAATGCGTAGCATTATGGGAAGAGCTCTAGCCAGACGGGATTTAAACTTTGTCGGCTGGAGACCCAAAGAGGAAAAACGTACCAAGCACATTGTTCTCTCACCACTCCTGATTTCTAACACACACTCACCGCCAGTATGTGGAGTGTGACGCGGATCGTGACGCGCTGACCCGGGCGGAGCATGCGCGTGGGCTACTTGTAGTTGTTGTATATCTGTGGTCGCCATTAAAGGCTTAACTAAACTAGTCTCTCGTGTCAGCGACTCATTGTACCTCATCCAAACACTGGCGTGGAGGCAGCGTTACCGTACTCACTCCCCAAAAAGACTGGTGAGCTCATGTCAGATCAGTTCACACTATAGACACGCATAAACAAGCTGCGTTGTTGATTATCTCCGCTGATGAAACGCAAGACTTAAGCCATGGCGAATACACACAGAGCACCGAAACAATGGTGCCTCACAAAAGGTGAGACTGTGAATTCATTTGAGAACTGGCGTCAGAACCTCATCTACACTTTATCTCTGGACACCGAGTTCAGAGAGAACCTCGCTGGTGGTGAGTCAACGCCTGTGATTGTGTGGTTAGATGAGCTTCTCCAGTGTTTTCATAAGGCTCAGCCGGCGTTATCCACTAGTTGCGCTGTGACGATACCGCGACCTGATGATCAGCTTTGGATCGTCACTGACGGTTCTCTCAGGGATCCAGGGCTGGGCGCGACAATGTACGTTACACGGGGGGAAAAGTTGCTGATCGCTGGATATTTTAGCGCTAAGCTTCATAAAAATCAGATTAATTGGCTTCCACGTGAGATTGAGGCCATGGCTATAGCCGCCTCCCTGAAGCATTTCGGCCCATATATTGTTCAGTCATTACAGAAGGCATGTGTGCTCACTGACAGTAAATGCGTGCAGGCCTTTGAAAAGCTGTGCAGGGGAGAATTCCGCTTATTACCGCTTTCTTGTCGACTGAAAGACGCTTCCAGGTCTCTGTTCGTCATGTTGCCGGGATGCTATTCTCCCATCAGATTATGCTAGTCGCAATGCTGCACAATGTGACAGTCCTACATGTCAAGTGTGTAGCTTCGTCCGTGAATCTTTGGTCTCTGTGGTGTGACGTACTGACGTCGCTGACATCTTACGTGGAGCTCAAAAGGTACCCTTTGCCAATAGAGCCACGTGGGTGTCCATTCAGGCAGAGTGTCCGGACCTTCGTAGGGTGCGCCCACATCTTCGGCAGGGTAGGCGCCCTTCCAAGAGAGTTACTAATGTAAAAGATGTGAAACGTTATTTGAACTCCCTTTACCTTGGCAAGAGATGGGCTTTTAGTTGTACGGCGTAACACACCACTGTCGACCACTATCAAGTCCATCATCGTTCCTAGGTCAGTGTTACATGGTTTGCTTATGTCAAAACACATTAGGTTAGATCACCCTTCGGCACACCAGTTGAGACTTATTGTCGGCCGATACTTCTATGCCCTGGATTTGGAGTCGGCCGTCCAGCTTACCAGTAAGCGATGTCACCAATGTGCTGCACTGGCACAGTCCCCAGTGTTCGCAGTGTCCACCCGAGACGGCCGGGTCTAGCTTTGCAGCTGACGTGCTTAAACATGAACGTCAGCTCATCCTAGTCGTTCGTGAGTGTGTGACATCCTTCACAGCCGCTTTGTTGATTGATGACAAACGGAAGGAGACGTTGCGGGATGGTATCATACGCTTGTGCTTTAGCCTTCGTCCGCTCGATGGCCACTTTGCTGTAGTTAGAACGGACCCAGCACCAGGTTTCTCAGCACTGGCCAAGAACACAATACTTGCTCAATACAGGCTGGCCATTGAGGTAGGCGATGCTAAAAATATCAACAAAAATCCGGTGGCGGAAAAGGCTATCCAGGAGCTACAGGGCGAGATTTTGTCTCTAGAATCACATTGCGGGCCGTCACCCCCGTGCTGCTGTCGGTAGATGCCGCTCAGTTAAATAGCCGTGTACGGTCACGTGGCATGTCTTCCCGTGAGATGTTGTTGGAGCGTGATCAGTTCTCTCTCGAGCAATTACTGGTGCGTGACCGGGAACTGATTTCATTGCTGCACGCACAATGCCGTGTTAACGTGTTCCTTGCGCCGTCCTCCCACGGCCCTCGACCTCGTCCTGCTCGCCACATACCCCCATCGCCGGGGTACACATACACTGCGCTCTACTCCTACTTTAATATGTTTGTGTGGCTGTCTGTGATTATACTTGTTCTTCACTCTTGCCTGACTGACATTGTGTCCATGCTTCTTCTTGCTGGTCTCTGCTGTCACTGTGCTTTATTGTATTGTCAGCAGGCGTCGCAGCAATTCACTCTTCTCTGCCACGCTGTCAATGACAACATCTGTACCTAGCACCGTAAGTATTTCCTTCTCAGTTGCCATCAACATAAATGCCTCCAAGTAATCATTGGATATGGTGCTCCTGAGTCGATTGTTTATAAATTTGAGTGTTGAGAAGGTTCTCTCACAAGCTACCTGGGTGACGGACAGGGTGAGTAAGAACTTGTACCCGAGGCCTATAACATGGTAAGCATCTGTTAACAAGTTGTATCGCCGTAAAAGTTGATAACAACACACAGCACAGTTCTGACATGTTGAACAACTTTTATTCATAATCTCTACTTGTTCTTCATTCATTCCATGCATAGGTATCTCTCTCTCACACAATCCTAGTTGTGTACTCCTCCACTGCAGACTTTTTCAGTCATTGACCAGTGAGACTAGTAAGCTCACACTGTAAAGTGGCAACAGTGGCCCGGTTGTCAAACTTTAGTAAGCATGTGCTTAGTTCAATCATGACAACTCTCGGAGTGGATAAATTTCAACAGCACCTTTCGGTATTCTTTGATAGGACTCAATCCATTTATTGGAGGAATGAGAGATTGGAGGCATATCCATCTGAGAATTGAAGAGCACCAACCAAGTTTTGTCCACAGAAATTGTACAGAAGCAAACTTCTAGAGGACCGGCAAAGCAAACATAAACCACCCGTGTTTGCATTTAAGGCTGTATATTTGGTCATTCATGCTCTGATGAACCTATCATATTAATACAGTTTACTTATAATGTTATGTTATTAGTTACTCCTTCACCATAGCAACACAACTTCAAAATAGGTTTCAATGACAATGCATACCAATGAACAATAGATGTAAATTTTTTGAAAAGTGCATCTAAAATTAATTTATAGCACATTTATAGTATTTGTCTTCAGGTCATGCATTCATTTATAGAGGAAATTCACTGTAAAAGCAGATACTTACACAATAGGGGTTTAATTTGCAGTAAAAATATGTCTGAAATATTTAGTGACTCTCAGCCTGAAGACATCATGATGAGATTTATTTCAAGTGGTATCAGGAAACAAACACAGAATATGACCCATACAGAACATCAACATGTGCCAAAACACATTTTTATTATATCTGCACTGGTCTGACGACATAAAGGCCACGCTTCATACAGATGTCTTTGTTGTTTAGTTTTTTTGTCTCTCTCTCTCTTTTCAGTAGACACCGTAGACACCGTAAAAACTACAAGAAATAAAAACATATATTCAAATTATGCATTTCT